GCATTCAAAAGGTGGAGCTATACTGGTAAGAACAAATTAGCCTGCAATGGGCATGTATCTCAGCTTCCAATCACTGAAACATATATATTCAAAACATGACTATGTGACTTGGTTTTCACAGGTGATACAAACCAAATGACTCCATTGAACATTCTCCTTCCCACCAACATCTCTGAACTCATAAACACAGCATTCCAAATCCAGTGAGTCCACACTTGATAGGTCACTTGGTTACTTTCTAGTGTGTATGCTTTTGTTTTCTTAGATATCTTCTCTTGAAAATAAAACTTTCTTGTATTAACAGGAAAGAGAACCTGGACCAAAGTGGTCTGAACTGCTTGTCACTCAACAACAACCTCCCTATTAGTTCTTGTACATATCTAGCACCTCAAAGTGTCCTAGATTGTGTTGAGCCTTCTCAGATGGAGTAAGAAATGCTGGAGGTCCCTTATTATTAGCAGGACCTTCACATCTCTGTTTTTTTTTTTTTTTTTTTTTTTTTTTTTTTTTTGGTGCTTATAAGTAGCAATTGAGTACCAGACTGTAGCAAGTTCCTATGGTTGCAGGACACAGCTCTAAACTGAGCTAGATCCTTGAGACCAGAAAAGCAAGAGAATGTTATGAGCTACAGACATAATATTCAAGAACAAAATTTAAAGACTTATTAACAGCTGTGTGGGCTTGTGACTCTCACCCAGAGATTCTCCCTTCATCACTACCCTTCATGTCATATTCACAGGGTATAGGGAAAATACACTCTCATGCCACAGAAATGCACTCAATAGAAGTGCTTTTGGGATTTTTTCATGTGTAAAAAGAATTGAAATGTACCCAAAGAAAGAGTATTCTCTCTCTAATTAAGGTGTACTCTGCTAACATCCATACAAAGCTGGAGAGACTCTTCACTCCTAATTAGTGGCCTTGGGAAAGGCCTGCAGTGGAGCGCTCGGAATTGTGCAGACAGACTGTGCCTACCGTGTTGTTTTTTGACTCTTTGAAGGTTACCCTGAGTCAGGGTGCTCCAGTGCCTTCTCTCAGAGACATGTTGTCCCCTCTGTGAACACAAAGTAAACCAAGGGCACGAAATGCTTCAATTTCTCATATGATCACCACATGGTAGCATCTAATTGATTCTATCACTGGGCAGATGAGTTAGCAATACTTTCCACTCTTAAATGTATTAAAGATGAATATATTTCACTGGCTCACTTAAGGCAGTGTGTTTTGAATACTTATTCACTCCTGACCTGGGGAAAACATGAGTTCATGATTTGGATTATAACACAATCTTTACTTAGCTTTTCAAGTCTTAAGCTTTTACAGTGTGCCACCACATGAATCTCATACTAGCTCTCTAGTCCCGCATTTTCTGCAGAGACCCCAGTTTGATTACTGCCCCATCCTTGCACATGACAGATAAAGTCAGTGAATAAAATGTTAAGATAAAATCATAGCAAGTCTGTGGGGCGTTTACCCACCACCTCCACAGTTCCCCAGAATTTTCTTGAGTGCAATCAGCAGGAAATATTAGAAGGATTTATAGCGGAGAATATCACAGAGATAAACAGATAGAAAATAAAGGATAGCCTCGAGAGGGCCTGGAACCTATTCCAACAGGCTCCGACTGTCTCTGGCCCAGGGTTTTTATAGAGACGCCAAGGGGTGGAGCAAAAGACCTCCTTCCCCAGCAGAGCCAAGTGCAGACCATCTCAGACACCTGCACTCAGGCCCGTGGTCCTGATCATCCTCTATTCGGACCTGCTGGGTAAAGCCACGAGGAACCCGAGAACGGGCTCCCACACAAGTCTTTGTTCTTAAGTATTTTTGCTGTTTATCACAATTCAAGGTAGTTTCTAAATGTTACCTTGGGACACAATCCTTAGTTACAGTAAGGGATCCTGGAAGGTAGTCTGTTAGAATCAGAAGACACCACCCACAAACATCCTACTTTGGAACAGAGATTATTTTGATCTAAAAGCAACTGAGAGATAGAAAATTGAAAAAGAGCTCTCCATACTCCCAGGTGTGTAGAAGGAAGACTATATGTTTCCCTCCATGTGTTGTTCTCTAATTGTTCAAACTACCAAAAGGAGAATGCCCTTAATCAAAAGAGATGACATCAATGGAGATGGGGATTTTATTCTCCATAAGCAAACCTTTCAGAATTACCTTTGTATTCCATTAGTTTCCTCCTGTATTTATTGTCTTACATTTTCCTGACCCCCCCCAGCCCAAGGCCCCTTTTATTTGTCTAATAACTTTCATATAATTTATCATCCTGTGTTAAAATGGTATGTAAGTGCTTCTTTTCACTTCTTTACTGTGAAGTGTCAGTATGCATGAAAAATATTTTTTTTGTTCTATTTATCCTTACTTTTCAAGTTGAATGTACAGGACCTGCACACCTGACTTTACAAGGATTATTTCCTTTCCTACAGTCAGACTTCTAGAAACGCAGATTATCCCTCTATTCAGCCAGGAAACTAAACATCTATACCAACAAACTTGAAATAAGCAGGTCAAAATGAGAAACATACAACTTTATTAATTTCTGTCTCTCCTGTCAATTAAAAATACTGTATGACCTCTATCACCCAGGATGTTATTTCTGGCTAGCTACCCCTGGCTTTCCCAGGCCAATTGACTCAACTTAGAGCATGCGTGAAGTCATCTTTAATCCACTACAAAGTCTTCCCACTCCTTTCGCTGATTGTGTTTCTTCCAAAACTCAGGTATGGATGGCTGACCCCTAGCTATGCTTAGGATACTATCTTCTTTCTTCATCTGGGTTTACTTCTACTTACATATCTTTTCATCTGGCTGAAGTTCTCTATATATCCTCCTTTATGCAATGGTTTTGAGGATGGCATAGTGGCTTGCCTATCTGACTTTTTAAAAAATGTATTCTAAGACGGGCGGTGGTAGTGCACACCTTTAATCCCAGCACTCAGGAGGCAGAGGTAGGTGGATCTCTGTGAGTTCGAGGCCAGCCTGGGCTACAGAGTGAGTTCCAGGAAAGGCACAAAGCTACACAGAGAAACCCTGTCTCGAAAAACAAAACAAAACAAAACAAAACAAAAAAAAAAAAAAAGAAAAAGAAAAAGAAATGTATCCTAATCTCACAAAGTATTATTTTGTAATAAGTATATTTATCTACAAGCAAAAACTAATTGGTGTGCCTTTTAACAGGACAATTAGTTAAATGCATCTTGATGAAAGGTTTTTGTTCCATGGAATATCTAATTTAAAAAGTCTATAATCAGACCTCATGACAGAAGATTCTTTAAGCCCCAATTGATGGCTCACCCCAAGAATCTATGGGCAGCACAGATTGGACTTTGAGTTATTGTTTTTTAAAAAGAGAGTGGGTGTGAATTTGAGAAGGGCAGGGTGAGTGGAGGGTTGGTCAGGGAGCAGTCAGGGAAAGAGTGAGGAGCAAATATGATCAAAATAATTGTAGGCAGGTATGAAATTCTCAAAAAATTAATGAAAGTATTTTATAAAATGTTCTATAAACATGATGTATTAAACTGTAAAAATTTCACACAGGAGTATTGTATTTATAGTATTTCCACTCCACTTTTTTCTCTTTTTAAATCCTTCCATGTCCTCACCTCCTCTCAACTTCATGACTTCTTCTTTCTTATTATTTTTTTCTTATATGTGTATATAGGTAAATTCAACCTTCTGCTTCCATTTAGTGTTTTCACGTGTACATGTGTTCAGGGCTGACCACGTGGAGTTGGACAGCCTCTTAGGGATTTATCCTTAGATAAGAACTGATTCTCCATCTCTCAGCAGTTATTAATTGCTTGTATCTCACAAACTTATGAGACTTCTCCATTCACTTTGGTATGACAACTGATGTTGTCACTTGCAGGTCTTGATTAGGAGACTATATTTTTGAATTTCCATAGGTACAGCTCCTTGTCATATATGGAAGATGTTATCTCACATCAGATGTCCTGGTCCTCTGGATCTTAGTCTTTCTGCTCCTTCTTCTGTGATATTCCCTGAGTCTTAGGTGGTGATGTAGATGTATCAGTTGGGGATTGGCACCCCATGGTCAGTTTTTCTCTGCATTTTAAACAATTGTGAATTTCTTGGATGGCCTTTGTTGCAAAAAGAAGTTTCTTTTATAAGGGGTGTCTTAGTCAAAGTTCTATTGTTGTGAAGAAATGCAATGGCCATGAAAAAATGTTATGAAGGAAAATATTTAATTGGGGTAGTTTATAATTCAAAGGTTTAGTCCATTGTCATCACGGCAGGAAGCACGGTAGCATGCTGGCAGAAATGGTGCTGGAGAGTAGCTGAGAGTTCTATATCTGGATTGGCAGGCAGCAGGAAGAGAGAGAAAAATTCTGGGCCTGGTTTCAGCATTTGGAAACTTAAAACCTACATCTCCATCCCCCACCCTCCCATCTTCCAACACGGCCATATTTCCTAATGGTGCCATTTTCATTCAAACCACCACTAGATGGTGGTTATCTGTGAAAATAAGGATAGGTGTTTAGACTGCAGTTGGGAATTGTACTGGTCTCAGAAAGTGGCAGTAGTAGGTTCTCCTTTATGGTCTATGACCTCATCAGTCATAGGTTGGTTATGTTTGGAGTGCCAGGCATGAATTCCTTCCTAATTGAATGGACCTTAAGTTCAATTAGGCAGCTGCAGATTAAGATATTTAGTATTTTATGGCTCTGTTGAGGTAAAATTGACAAATAAAATGTGTGTATATTTCCAAAGTACAACATAATGTTTTGTTATATGCATACATCACAATTTAATTACCATAGCCGAGCTAATTAATATGCATGAGCATCTGTGTTTGACGAGATCTGTCAATGTGTATATATATATATATATATATATATATATATATATAGCAATTTTAAATTATATAATGTGTTAGCTGCTGTGATCAGGCTATACAATAAATCTCCACAATTTATTCGTGGTGTCTATCTGAAACTTTGGAGCATTTAGCTTCTTAGTCAGCCCCTAGTTCTCTAGTGCAGTCCTCCAGGCTCCGACTCTGGTGGTGGTGGGTGCAGGCCTGGTTGGTCTCCAAAGTGACTGAAAAATGCAGGACAGTGGCCCGCTGGTGCCTTTACATTATCTCGGCTTTGGCTATGCAGCCCTGGTTGCTACTGGTGGGATTATTGGCTATAATAGTGTGCCGTACCTGGCTGCTGGACTCTTCTTTGGGAGCCTAGCAGGCCTTGGTGCTTACCAGCTGTCTCAGGATCCCAGGAACGTGTGGGTTTTCCTAGCTACATTTGGGACCTTGGCTGACATCATGGGGATGAGAATATACAACTCTGGGAAATTTATGCCTGCCGGTTTAATTGTGGGTGCCAGTTTGCTGATGGTTGCCAAGCTTGGAATTAGTGTGCTGAATTCTCCCCATCCATAGTAGCCACACCCCTGCTTGGGCTAATGAAGAATTGAAACTCTCCAAATGTCCACATTTATAATGTTTGAAGGAAAAAGTGCAGCATATTTACATATTCTGACATTTTACAAAGATACCCTGAGGTGGAAGATGAGATTTCACCGGGTGGCAGGTGTTGAACCTGAGACCAGCTGCTACCTTCATGCAGTTTCATTCTTGTGTGATGACATCCCACCTTTCTGTACTAGTAAACAAGGGGTAAAATGTTGGGTGTCAACACAGGGGGCCCCAGAGCCACATGTCCTGCCCAGAAGTGTATGAAACCTCTTGGTGACATTTGTGATGTGGGATCTTTTGCGTAGGTCTGCTATGAAATTATGTCCAATATAAATATAGTTTGCTGTTAAGAAAAGAAAAAAAAAGAAATAAAACATTTTACAATGGCATTAAAGTAACTGAGATCCGAATAGGTTTGAAAATAAATTGTCTTTGCTTAAACTGAAAGATTTTTCAGCTCAAAATTAATTGTCCTAGGAAATGGTTTCTTAGGTCCAGCCTCAGAGACACACAGAAGTCTGTGCAACTGTGGCTCAAGGAGATCAAAGTATATCCTCAAATGGAATTTGAAACTAGCAAAATCATCCATATTATACTGGTTTTGTAAGCATGGAAAATATAAGAGTAAGGAGGTCATGTAGGCTAATGCTCCTTCCTTCCAGTTGTATTATGCCTATCATTAGGATCACACATTTTGAACTGTTTGACCCAGTTCATTACCTCTCAGATGGAGGTCATGAAGCTGCAGGTGATTCTGACCTCAGAGTCAGTTTATCAGGTGGTCAAACAAGGGGACCCTGAGCTTTCAGGCTTCTATGACACAGAATTTTAAATTGGAGCTTATAAAATATTTTAATAGCTCCAACAAGGGGAAACGAAGTAGAAGAAACCCAAAGTAATAAAATTGATATTAGAAAAGATTTGCTATAAAATATTTGCTTAGGAGTCATTAAAACACACAGTGTAGAATTTAGCTAAGGGAGTGCTGCACCCCAAATACCCTAAAGACCAGTAGTATACTAACCAGGCCTGTTAATGACAAGGGAAATTGTTGATGCTAGGATGTAAATGTTTGTTTACTAGGATTGACCAGCCTCGAGGCTCATCCCCAGCTCAAGGGGGCAGTACAGGGTCATAAATATCACTAGGCCTTGTCTGTCATTAAGTCCCCTGTGCTTTTTTTTAAATTAAATGTATTTATTTATTGCTTAATAAATAAATTTGTAATTTTGAAATTATTTCCATTACTGTAAATTTCTGATTCTTAGAAATAACATAACTTACTAGAAGTATTACTGAAAAATTCAATTGATCACAAAAGAATATATATTGGAATTTTTTTCTTACTCTGAAATTACTCTTTTTTAAAAAATTAATTTAATTTTACATGTCAGCCACAGATCCCCCTGTCCTCCCTCCTCCCACCCCCTCCCCTCAATACAACCCCAATTCTCACTTCCTCCAAGGCAAGGTCTCCCCTGGGGATTCAGCTCAGCCTGGTAGATTCAGTTGAGGCAGGTCCAGTCCCCTCCTCCCTTCACCTAGGCTGAGCAAAGTGTTGAGCATAGGTCCTAGGTTCCAAAAAGCCAGCTCATGCACTAAGGACAGGTCCTGGTCCCACTGCCTGGGGACCTCTTAAATAGTTCAAACTCATCAACTGTCTCACTTACACAGAGGGTCTAGTCCAGTACCATGGGGGCTCCTCAGCTATTGGTTCACAGTTCATGTGTTTCCACTAGTTTGGCTATTTGTTCCTGTGCTTTTTCCAATCATGGTCTCAATATCTCTTGCTCATATAATCCCTCCTCTCTCTCACTGATTGGACTCATGGAGCTCCAACTGGGGCCTGGCCGTGGATCTCTGCATCTGCTTCCATCAGTCATTGAATGAGAGTTCTGTCATGACAGGTAGGGTGTTCGACCATCTAATCACCAGAGTAGGTCAGTTCAGGCTTTCTCTCGACCATTGGCAGTAATCTATTGTGGAGGTATCTTTGTGGATTTCTGGGGACCTCTCTAGTACTTTGCTTCTTCCTATTCCCATGGGGTCTTCATTATCATGGTCTCTTATTCCTTGTTCTCCCTCTCTGTTCTTGATCCAGCTGGGACCTCCCGCTCCCCTAAGCTCTCTTTACCCCAATCCTTGTCCTTCATTACCTCCCCACCCCATGTCCAGTTTGCTCATGTAGATCTCATCAATTTCTCTGTCGTTGAGAAATCCCTGTGTCTTTCTTAGGGTCCTCTTTACTAGGTAGCCTGCCTGGAGTTGTGAGTACCAGTCTAGTCATCCTTTGTTTTACATTTAGTATTTACCTATGAGTTTACCATAAAAAAATACCATGTTTGTCTTTCTGAGTCTGGGTTACCTCACTCAGGATGATTTTTTTTCTAAATCCATTTATTTGCCTGCAAACCTCATGATGTCATTGTTTTTCTGCTGAGTAGTACTCCATTGTGTATGTGTACCACATTTTATTTATTCATTCTTCAGTTGAAGGGCATCTAGGTTGTTTCCAGGTTTTGGCTATTACAAACAATGCTGCTATGAACAAAGCTGAGCATGTGTCCTTGTGGTATGATTGAGCATACCTTGGGTATATGCTCAAGAGTGGTATAGCAGAGCCAGGTGGATCTCTGTGAGTTCGAGGCCAGCCTGGTCTCCAAAGCGAGTTCCCGGAAAGGTGCAAAGCTACACAGAGAAACCCTGTCTCGAAAAAACAAAAACAAAAACAAACAAACAAAAAGTTTAGCCGGGCGGTGGTGGCGCACGCCTTTAATCCCAGCACTCGGGAGGCAGAGCCAGGCGGATCTCTGTGAGTTC